GAAAAATTCCACTTTGTATAGAATATAAAATGAGTAATGTACATATTTTGCATCGAATTACTCGAAGGCCCAAATTTTTCCAAAAGTACGCCGCTAAATACCCCAAGTAATGATGGAATTCATAATAATATCTCGTAATTGAACTAAGTTTAGTCTGGTGGCTGAAACTCGAGGGTTGGAAGTTAAATCTTAATAAAGTGGTGGCTCGTTATATTATATAAACTTGGCATTCCATTGAATACCACTTCTCCAAGACGAGGCAAACTCTCACTACCAACTAAAAACATATAATGTTTTGAATTAAAGGAGGATGACATTGCAAGGATTTATACTAGTTAATTTTTTGCGCCATGTTTCAACAAATAACAGTGTTGGGTTGTTAATACGATGCGCATAAGTAATTAATTTCGAGATTAATTCTGAAATAAGAATAGTCGTTAAACGTAATAATAAACAAAACAACATATCTATAGATTCGGTAAAATTTGTGAGTAAGCAAGGTTGAATACTTTTTTTGGATTTTACATTTCATCAGATTTGCCACCAGAAAGGTTTTATATAATTTAAAATTACAGATTTTGATATCTTAGGGTATATTAATAGTTGTCAATTATAAAGCAATACCGCAAATTTAAGAAAAAAATTGTAGGGAATACGTTACTTGTCAGAAGTCTGCTCAAGCAGCTAAAAATCATCAGCATCTCTGATCGCAAGTTCCACCCATTAACGGATATATATTTTTTAGCTTGAAATTTTATTTACAAAAAAAAATTCCACACGGAAAATAAAGAAAAAAATATGTCACCTTTGCTTCCAGGTCCATGTGCTATACCTTACAATAAGTTGAAGTTGAATAGAGACTGCTATCACTCATCGCGCATAAATATTGTAATGCGAGCTATTTCATTATTCATTCATGCTCTAATCCTCCAAGTCCCCCTCTTATTTGCCTTATTTGGCCTTTGAGGCTCAACTTGTCCGATTATCATACATAATTAAACCCCTTAAGACCAAACATATGTGACAACTATGGCGAAGGCGCTTTCGAGTACATTCTAGGTAGAACGTTATAAAGTTTCTAGTTTTGGTAAGAACGTTCTAGACCACCACCACAATTTTAAATGTGTATATAAATATTGGTGGAGGAACACTGAGTAGTCAGTCGTATAAAAACAGTTGTGAAGATAAATAGTTAACAATTTAAAGACATTCGAAATATGTATAAATTAGAATAATATTGTTATAAAATAAATAAGTGTTCAAATAAATTATTTACAAATAAATTAATTACAAATAAATTAATTACAAATAAATTATTTACAAATAAATTATTGTTTAAAATAAACAAACATCGCAATATGTGTCTAATATACGAAGTAGAAATATCGATGCTCGCTAACAGCGGTCTTTCTCTGGTATATGCATGTTCCTGTTAAACTTTGTTAAACTCATTGTAAGGAATACTTTCAGTGTTGAAAATTCTGTACCTACATAACATTTATCATAAAAATAGGAATGAATGAATGTAGCAGATAGAGTTTTGAATGATCATCTAAATGAAAATGTATTCAAAAAAGTTGAAAATATTAATTTAAAAGAGAAAGAACATTTTATATGAGTGAAAATACCACTCTAGCCTAATTTACATAAACAAATATTTTTGCGAGTTTTAAAATTAATTAAAATGGAATAAAAAGAGGTCCTATATCGGCTAAAAGCTACTTTAAACTTGCGGTGACTCTCGTCTCTCATCAAGGGGAATATACTTTGGTGTTTTGACTGTAACGAGAAAAGCTTAATTATTGTGACGTAAGATATACTGCATCAGGTAGAGAAGCATCAATATTATAATTTTCCGGTGGTTTGGAAAACAAGGGCTTTAGAGTTTGGGGCTTCCGCGTCCATCGGTGAACGTTCGAGAAAAACTTAGACATGAAAAGTTTCTGGTTATACAACTAAACGTGTAGTTGCCTGGAAGTTTTCTCTAATTTTGTTTGGTCTGACGCTAAGCTCTGTTCCTGTCACTTTCATACCAACTCTTCTTGTTTCGAATATTTACCAAGGAACGTTAGTATTTTAAAGTTATTACGTTGTTTCCTATATATCTCTGGCAACGGAAGTTATCTGAAACGCTATCTACAAACCACTCTTTGACGTTTGATGCATTTACCTTTGTTCGTGCATCTATAAATCCATTATACATAGTGTCTGAATGAAAATTTTATGTGTAGGTAAAAGAGGTAGGTACTAAGAAGGATCGTGAGATAAAAAAATCACATCATAAATAAAAAAAGGCATAAGTTACAATATTGATTTACATTCTTCGAAGTAACCATCAAATATTAATTTTCTATGTTTTCTTTTAAATGCAACCATGATTAGGCAGTTTATTGTATGAATATTACATTTTAATTAATTAAATAAATTCTTATTGTGCACTAGTTTCCCACACTTGTTGAAATCTAGTTTCTTGTATCTGGTATGGATACTCATTTGACCAGTAATGGCAATTATGTCGATTTATTACTCTATATTAAGCATGAAAGTGACTTTTATCACTCCATAAAATTTTATTCAAGAGCAATGGACCGTCATTAATTTTCATAACTATTTTAAAATAAAATTTAAACGGAGGTAATCCCTGAACCAGTGAATTTTAAATGAGTGATAAATAATTTTTTCGCCTACCGTATATGAAAATTAATCTTATGAGCCCTAAAATTACGGCAGAAAGTAATGTTTATCGTCCCTAGGGCCGCTAATACCATATCATCACGAATTTGTACTTGCTTACACTAATAATTTATTGAACCGGGCAGTATTAATGAATTGGAGAGAGGGAAATGGAACTGTAACTGTCATTTCAGAAAAAAAAATTACACACGAAAAACCTGTTATAATACAAAAAAAATGTTTGCATATATATAATATAGTAAATCAGTTACTAACAGCCGGTTGCAACAACGTTTATTAAGAGCTTTAGAATGTGATCTGTCTGAATGATATGAACTTTAATTTACACATTATCTAATTATTAGCTATTGAAAGATTTAACAAGCTTTCTTGCAACCGGGTGTTAGTCATTTAAAATATAGAAAATATAAAATACATAAAAAAATAATCAAAAGAACATATTTTTTTAGTGTTCGGTTTCAAATTACGTAAGACGGTCCTGTGCCTTTTCAAACGATAACAGCTCGTGCGGAGATCGTGCTTTCTTCGTCCCCGTCCGTCGATCCCGTCTGGGCCGTCTCTACTTAGATAGATGATAAATCCAAGATGACAGTTGATGACAGATCGATCGATTTTGATTGATTTTAAAAACTATTACTTTCTTATTCATGTTTTAAATCATTTAAACAAAATTATGAAATGTATTTCAAGTAGTAAATGAGCTCAGTGTTCACAATAGTTTTACTTGATCTCTGGACATAATCTCCGAGACGATTGGAACGTCTGTACCTATGAAACGATGAACCAACAACTTCTGGTAGTAATTTTGGATAATGAATATCTGTGAGTCCTTTTTAAACTTACTTCCTATCATTATTTAAAATATTATAATATCTGTGATCAGTTTATTTATTTCAAATAACCCTTTTTAACCTTGTAAGTCGTTCTCTTTAAGAGAAATTGAAAGTGGTATTTGTATTTACCTTATGCTAGAAAATAAATATATTTTTATGTCTAGGAACCGAGATATTTGATTGCGACTATTTTTTACTTGGGGTTGAAAAACACCCTATTTGATCTTGCAAGTCGTTCTCTTTAGGACAGGTTAAAGTGATATTTGTACCTAACTTATGCTACAAAAAAATATGATCTCTGGGGAACGATATAAATCACTTTGGATATGATCGTGTTAAAATATTGTTACAAACAGCCTAAATATATCATATACATACATTTTGGGTTCTCTAAAAAAAGCGGTCGTAGAAAAAAATAGTCTACAACATGTGTACAACGCACTATTTCTTTCAATTGATATTTTCTTTTTTTTTTGTGTAAAGAATTTGAGAGATTTATTTTGATTAGCCGGTAAGATATCAGTGAAATGGTAATTTATTTTCAAACAAATTTAAGATGTAAGTCTAAATGGAAAAATACTCCGTTCAGAGGATATTCAATCGGATCTTTTAGAATAGAATCTGAGAAAATTAATAAAACGAGCCGTAGGTAAAATGATGAAAAACATTATGTTCCGATAAAGACTTAATATCAAATAGAAGTTCAAATGCGCTGAAATTGCAAGACTATCTCTGAAGTTAAAATATTGAATGATTTTTTAGATTTTTCTTTTTGTCGTTTTTAGCGAACTGATACAATAATTATACCCATAGGCGTTAAAACTCTACATTTCTACATAAACACCAAATATAGGTTTTCAGATTTAGGTCCGATGGATTATGTTTAACCATTTATTAAAAAACGTACCCATAATCCATTTGTGCTTAATATGGATTAAATCCAAACTGATTATTAGAAAGTATTGTATGTTCCAACATATGTGATTTTTTTAATACCTATAATAAACCTTGAACTTTTAGGCTGTATTTAACATTAAACTTTGACAATAACAAAATGTAAATAACAGAATGGATACGAGTTAGGACATAGTATAACTATAAGATAACATACTATAAACTAATTAACAGGTACTGTATAAACTTTTTGTGGATTACTCCATGCTCATACAAAACTAGAACGTCTTCACCGTTTTTTGAATATCAACCATTTTTTTTTATGTTTTATAATAAGCCTTTAAAGTTTTTTTCGAAGAAAGGTCTTAATTTGCTATAACTTTGGTTCAGATTTAGAACGATGTAATAGAATTGGATTTACTCCCTGTTTGAAATGAGCGTACTTCCCTTAAATAACCCCTTTTCAAAGTTCTTTGGGAAGTCTTGAAACTTCAACTTTAACTAGTTTTATGCGCCTTAACGTATAAATAAGACATGTATCGTAGAATATCAATAAGAGAAATTCAATGTTTGTTTCAGATGTGGTCCCGGCATTCGAACCCGACTTCCTGTACCCTCTGGAGAATTTGACAGTGGCTCAGGGCCGTGACGCAACCTTTACATGTGTTGTCAACAATCTTGGGGGATATAGGGTGAGTGGGGATCTCACCACTGCAAGGGTGTGTATTTTTCTTATCTAATATTTATGCACCGATAGCAGTCTCGAGTTGGGTGCAAGTGAAAGGTCCATTTTTAATAGTCGCACCACTGTTTTTTGTTTTCATCTGTCATTCCACTCTCAAACGCAAATCTTAATACTGAATAGTCAGAAAAAAATATATAAATTGCTGGAAGCATTTCACTTCAGCTTCTTAACTTTCAAATACATGAAATTATGTTTATTATTTTAAACCATATATATAATACATTTTGAAAATCTTAATATGGCAGCTAGGTGAAAAATTCTATATAGGTATATTATGTAACCAGTGTCTTGAGATAAAACAGCAATTCATAAAGCTACGATTAAATAAACCTACTCTTTTATATACAGGGTATCCCAGAAAAAAATGCCATAATTTTAACCACGTATTAAGCGCATCAAAACAAACAACTTTTGTCAAATATAAGTTTTGAAAATTTACCATATTTGTAAATTTTGGCGTTGATATCGAACATTCCTCACTACTCATGTCATCTTTTACAATTGACAGCTGTCACCTGTTAACTTTTAAAATAGTGGGAGTCTCCAAAATCTAACCTAAAATTAGAAATACATCGCATAAGTGTTAGTATACGTCGATTTTTTAATTTTCTCGATTAACCTCAGTGGGGGGTAACTAAAACAAATTAAAATTTTTGAAAAAAAAAATCTTAAATACTAGGGCTATTAGAAATGAACTTATTTGACAAAAGTTGTTTGTTTTGATGCGCTAAATACGTGGTTAAAATTATGGCACTTTTTCTGGGACACCCTGTGTAAAACCTTCAAGCTTTAAATATAATTATGGGAGCTATACATTGAAGTACAATTCTTGTGGTTATCTATATATTTTTAAATAGTTGCTTTTTAACAAATTCAAGATTGCACGTACAGTCTTTGCAAAAGTTATTAAATGCACTAGACGCACGAGAATGTACAGTCTTTATAATTGACCTAGCCAATATATTAGTATCACAATTTAGATCATAAAAAAGTCCAGATGATATAATATAGGAATAAGATTCTTCAGCTTCTTTTTTTTATTTTTTCAAAAAATTCAGTTAATGATGATGAAAAGAAGAGGAGTATTTTTTTTAATTAGTTGTGGTGGATAATTTGTCACTACTCACGAAGTAATTATGAATTCGGGGGTATAAAAATGCGCAAAATGTTTGTGACATGTTTTAATTAATTGATTTTCTATCTGCATAAGAAGTGGTTGGAATTATAATTAACACTAGTCAGTTTATTTGATGAAAATAAAAACAGCAAAAAGTTTCTGACAGTGTAAAAACTTTCAATTCATACAATGTGTTCATATTATAGCAATTCTGACACTGTAGCTGATTACATTTTTTTTGTTTTAAAGGATATCTATTTACATTTTCTTTTTGTATGAAAATTTTTAATTTAAAAACTATGCAATGTTTGTGGAATTTTTAGATTTATAAATCTATAATAATAATGCAAATGATAACAAATTTAAAATAATGGAAACATTTAATTTATTCTATGTCGATTTATTTATTTATAAATTAAAACATTGGGCAGCGACTATTAAAATTGGACCAAAAATGTACCGTCACCGATCAACTCTGTCATGCACCAGCACCACAGAGCACTGCACTCTGCACCGCACTACCAGCACAAGCACGTCGCGAATGGAACACCATTGCACAACGAAATGAAAATCAACTATGTCAACCAAATAACAAAACTACTCCGTTTAATATAGATCACCTTTTAAAATGACACGGACAGTTCCAAATGGTTTCAAACGATGAAAATAACAAAACTAAGTTAGTGATACTGTCACCTCTAAATCCTATTTTAGTCAGGAAGTACGATCGCATTACAGGTCAAAACAACTACTTCCAGTGTCGTATTAAAAATTAAGGAGTATATAGCTCTGGAAACTATTGACTATTGGCTTTGAAACTAAAAAAGCAGAAATAATATATTATGGAAAGGGATATAAGATAATTTTCTGCATAAATTTATAAGTTGCATAGCAATTCGCTAGCGCGCTAGTATAATTATTATTAAGCAGATATTGGTTATTCAAAAACTTCTATCTGGTTTAAATTTATAATGAATAGTTCATAGCTTATTCATTAATAAAAATTATAGAATACAATGTAAATTTTCAGAATGAAACTATAAATAATATACGTTATGTTTAAGGAAACGTATACGTACAAATACAAGTAAAATTTATTAATAATACAATTAGTAGAACCTTATTTTCAGAAACTATTTCTTTAGCTATATTTTTTTAAAAATTTAAAATGTTTAAATAATTCATATTTATGTAATAATAAATACCACAAAAATGAGTTGTCATCTAAAAAGGTTACAAAATATTTTTTATTATCCCAAATTGCTGGTGTAATTGGACCACAAACGTCTGCTTGTACTTTATTGTTGAAAGTTTGTTGGCTTTGATCCTTTTTAATTGAAATAGATTTGTAAAGTTCACGAGTAAAGCTAGGAATAATTAAAATAATCGTAAAGAAATTACGGTGAATAAATCATCCAAAGTTGTTGATATAAAAAAAATGCGTTGCGGTTCCGTATCGGTCGGCACATTTCAGCACATCATTCTTAGATTACAGCTGAAAAAAAGCGGAAACTACAAGCAGACACCGAGAGCTAGACAATTTATATACTTTAGGTTATAAATTAAAGTTAAACTAATGTTCTTGAATGTTTCACTTGCTACATTCCATTTCCTCAAGTAATAGCCTTCTTCGGGAGCCTTATTCGGCTTTTCGGCTATAATACACTAGCAGCTTTGGAGAGGAAAACAATTAAATACTAGGCAGGATGATAAAACCTGCGGAATTATATAGTCCGGAAGGCTGACAACGAAATGAAATTCAACGAAATACCCAAATAGTTTCTCTAAAAGCTGCTAAGAAATAGCCATTATTATTAAGTGAAATACAGAACATTGCGCGCTGCGCGGTTTTCAAAAGATATCACCATAGAGTCCAAATGGGAGTTTTATATCAACTGTTTTTCCTGAGTTCGTCCGACTATCTTCGGTAACACTTTAGTTTATTAGTTTAGTAGTATCCTTCCTTAGCTTTTTTTCTAACCTCATCCGATTCTGCCTCCGACAATACTGTTTCATATTGGCTTGTTCTGTTTCATTGATAACCGTGCGCTTTGTTTTGGATAATGGTTGGATCGATATTGTAGGTGTCGATCATTGTGTGTCTTATTTCTATATACTTTGTCTTCTCGGTTGACTAACACATCTAGGAAATAAATTTGTCGGTTTCCTTCTATTTTCATGATAACATCTTTAGGATGAAAATTGTTCAGATGTTTTAGGAAATTCTAGAGGTCTTTTCTTCTGTGGCTCCAGATTACAAATGTGTCATCTTCATACCTCAGCCAATGCTTTGGTTGTTTTTCAGCAGTGCGGATAGCTCGCTCTTAAAATTTTTCCTTGTCAAAGCTGACTAGGATGTCCTTAGGCTCTTTAAGTGTTCGATGAAGTGCGTAGAGTCTCGCACGTAGGTTTTTGTCTTGTCTACGTGTGTTTGCCGAATTTTCTCCAGATGTTTATTCGGGTTGTAAGTTGGTGATCCTATAGCACTTGATATTGGTCTTAATGGTACGTTATCTTTGTGAATTTTTGGTAATTCATATAGTCTTGGTAGTTGAGCTTTAGTAGTGCAAATTTTCTTCTTTTTCTTTGGTGGTAGTGACAACTGTTTTATTAATTTAGTGTTTTTTTTAATCTTCTTTGTTGCATCTTTCGTATGTGTCTTGATTGACCAGATCATTCAGCTTGCTCCTGTAGTCCGATGTGTTCATGACGACCGTTGCATTTTCTTTGTAGGCGGGCAAAATTATGATGAGTTCATCCTCATTGAGACTTCTTATAGTTGCCTTCTTGCCTGATGAAATATTACTTTTTGGCTTTGCGTAGAATTCTTGCCGATTCACTGCGTACCTCTTCTTTGATATTAGGTGGTAGTTTTTTAATTCCGGTTTCTATATTGGCATTAATTTCTTCTGTGTGGGATTACGCTGAAATTTCCACCTTTGGCTAGTAAGCTTGTTTCGTCATCCGATTCGAGAGATTGATTACAGTCTGTTTCAAATTTATCTTCTCCTGTTCTTTGCTTGCTTTGGGCTGTCCTCTGAAGGGCTATTCTAATTGGTTTTCTACAGCTGCAGCCTACAATGTCCTGTTAATAGGCCCCCTAGTATTTTTTTCGTAATTTAGTTTATGCAATGAACATTTCATGAATGAACTCTTTAAATAATGATGCATTGCTGCTACTTCATTCAAATTTTCCGGTTGTTTTAAAATTGCATGCAGTAAAAATACATACAATTAATTATTTAACAAAATGACATTTCTCAGTTTCATTACAAGTCCTTTTAAAAAACGAACAATTTCTATTCCAACTGTCTGCAACTCATTCTTGTGTAATTGAAACAAGTTATTGAGTATCAATAAACGACTTTTTACGAGCCATAAAACTGTTTCATGGCTGCTTATGTATGATGAATAAGGTTCTCATAGTGTCTATTCTATAATTACATTCGGAATCGTGTGTTTACATTATTTAGTAGGTTCTTTGGTTAGAGTAGGTACTTTGGTTCTTCCACTACAGTTCAGCGCGCGGCAAGCATTTCAATGGGCAAACAGGATCGTTCAAGGATCTATTATACATTTTCTTAAATTATAATTATGTCAAATGTTTATTTTATTAAAATGAAGATACTTATGTGGTAAAAATACTAAATATTATAGACCTCATAGCAATATAAATTCATGTTTACATTTACAAAACAAAAAGAGTTTTAAGGAATCCCTTGATCGAATTTTAAATTATTTATTAAATTACAAATATAACCAAACGCAATCTTAATATTTACTGACATTTTTCAAATAATATTGAAATACTTTTATCCATTAGATTGTGACTTGGGAAAACATTTTTAAACAGCGTA